CTGCCCCCGTTCCCCAACTGGAGTAGTTTTATGCCCAAACAAACTTGATATTTGCCAATTTAATTCTAATTTTGACCTATAATGAGGGCAAGATGGAATTTATAGTAATGGAATTGGGGTAGGTTTGGAGGCCACTTCTGGCACCATTATAAGAAAACCAAGGGGATGGCTGGGTATTGCTGGGGTCAAACCAAGGCAAGCACACTAATGGCATTTCCAATAGCTAATCTCATTCAATATCTTCATCATCTTGTGTTTCCCAGATGGTCCAGAGAGACCTGTTATCACGAGTCCGGATATAGCGATGACAGGACACAGCGTGACCTTCAACTGCTCGGCCTCCTCTCAGCCTCTCAGCCAGTTCAGCTGGTTCTTCAATGGTTCCCAGGTGGCAACTGGCTCAGTGTATGAGACTAGCCCACTGACCTTAGCCAGTCTTGGGGAGTACACCTGTGTGGCCTTCAACAACATCACTGGAAGAAACAGCACTGTCTCCAAGATGCTCACCGTCATTGGTAAGACAGAAGAGACATCCAAACTGTTTAACTTGTACATGTAGATATAGGCCATTCAACATACAGTGATTGTGATGTAGTCAATATTATTGTGACACTGACGTTTTCTTCACAGACCCAGTAACCATGGCCACGGTGAAAGTCATCGGTGCCCAGCCAATAGCAGACTACATGTTTACTCTGACCTGTGAGACCGCTGGAAGCATTTACTCCATTCACTGGATGAGGAACGGCTGGCCTCTGTATGCTGACAACAGAACAGACTTCTCTATGAACAACAATACACTGACATTCAACTCTGTCCAGCATTCTGACAACGGAGACTATCAGTGTTCTGCCTACAACCCCCTGAGCAACATGACCAGCCCAGACTACAGACTGACCGTCAACTGTGAGTAGTTATTATCAAGTTCAACTTTGACCCGATGGCCTGAGGTGGAATCTTTGAGAACTTCCTTTATAAACATTGTAATAAAGCCAATGTGATGGTTTGGATCAAACCTTGTATACCATATGACATATGTTGATGTCCTTTAAACTTCTGGCCAATGACAGATGATGGGTTTAACTCACATCTGTCAAACTCATTCCGCAGAGGGCCAAGTGTCAGCGGGTTTTTCGATCCTCCCTTGAACTTGATTGATGTATTAAGGTCCCTTATTAGTGAGGAACTCCCCAAACCTGGTTGTCTTGGTCTTAATTGAAAGGACAAAACAAAAACCAGCAGACACTAGGGCCTCCATGGAATGAATTTGACACCCCTGGTCTAACTGATTGTCTTTTGTATCATAGATGGACCGGATATGCCTATTATAAAAGGACCAGCATTAGGAGAAACAGGACACAGCGTGATCTTCAACTGCTCGGCCTCCTCTCAGCCTCTCAGCCAGTTCAGCTGGTTCTTCAATGGCTCCCAGGTGGCATCTGACTCAGTGTATGAGACTGGCCCACTGACCTTAGCCAGTCATGGGGAGTACACCTGCGTGGCCTTCAACAACATCACTGGCAGAAACAGCACTGTCTCCAAGATGCTCACTGTTGTTGGTGAGTCAGTAACTAATACTTAAAACCAAGGAACTAAAACTTGCTTTACTGTGTTTGTGTTCAGTTGGTTTTAGACACAGCACACATGCTGCTGAACCTACAGGATAATAAGTTGGAAGTTGAGATAAAAAGTGCTTAAAACCCCTTTGATCTACTTTACACAGCACCTGTGACCATGAGCATTGTGAAAGTCATTGGAGCCCAGCCAATACTGAACGAGAAATTCTCTCTGACCTGTGAGACCGCTGGAACGGTTTACTCCATTCACTGGATGAGGAACGGCTGGCCTCTGTATGCTGACAACAGAACAGACTTCTCTATGAACAACAATACACTGACATTCAACTCTGTCCAGCATTCTGACAACGGAGACTATCAGTGTTCTGCCTACAACCCCCTGAGCAACATGACCAGCCCAGAATACAGACTGACCGTCAACTGTGAGTAGTTATTATGGCCCAAAACCTAACTTGATATTTGCCAATTTAATTCTAATTTTGACCTATAATGAGGGCAAGATGGAATTTATAGTAATGGAATTGGGGTAGGTTTGGAGGCCACTTCTGGCACCATTATAAGAAAACCAAGGGGATGGCTGGGTATTGCTGGGGTCAAACCAAGGCAAGCACACTAATGGCATTTCCAATAGCTAATCTCATTCAATATCTTCATCATCTTGTGTTTCCCAGATGGTCCAGAGAGACCTGTTATCACGAGTCCGGATATAGCGATGACAGGACACAGCGTGACCTTCAACTGCTCGGCCTCCTCTCAGCCTCTCAGCCAGTTCAGCTGGTTCTTCAATGGTTCCCAGGTGGCAACTGGCTCAGTGTATAAGACTAGCCCACTGACCTTAGCCAGTCTTGGGGAGTACACCTGTGTGGCCTTCAACAACATCACTGGAAGAAACAGCACTGTCTCCAAGATGCTCACCGTCATTGGTAAGACAGAAGAGACATCCAAACTGTTTAACTTGTACATGTAGATATAGGCCATTCAACATACAGTGATTGTGATGTAGTCAATATTATTGTGACACTGACGTTTTCTTCACAGACCCAGTAACCATGGCCACGGTGAAAGTCATCGGTGCCCAGCCAATAGCAGACTACATGTTTACTCTGACCTGTGAGACCGCTGGAAGCATTTACTCCATTCACTGGATGAGGAACGGCTGGCCTCTGTATGCTGACAACAGAACAGACTTCTCTATGAACAACAATACACTGACATTCAACTCTGTCCAGCATTCTGACAACGGAGACTATCAGTGTTCTGCCTACAACCCCCTGAGCAACATGACCAGCCCAGACTACAGACTGACCGTCAACTGTGAGTAGTTATTATCAAGTTCAACTTTGACCCGATGGCCTGAGGTGGAATCTTTGAGAACTTCCTTTATAAACATTGTAATAAAGCCAATGTGATGGTTTGGATCAAACCTTGTATACCATATGACATATGTTGATGTCCTTTAAACTTCTGGCCAATGACAGATGATGGGTTTAACTCACATCTGTCAAACTCATTCCGCAGAGGGCCGAGTGTCAGCGGGTTTTTCGATCCTCCCTTGAACTTGATTGATGTATTAAGGTCCCTTATTAGTGAGGAACTCCCCAAACCTGGTTGTCTTGGTCTTAATTGAAAGGACAAAACAAAAACCAGCAGACACTAGGGCCTCCATGGAATGAATTTGACACCCCTGGTCTAACTGATTGTCTTTTGTATCATAGATGGACCGGATATGCCTATTATAACAGGACCAGCATTAGGAGAAACAGGACACAGCGTGATCTTCAACTGCTCGGCCTCCTCTCAGCCTCTCAGCCAGTTCAGCTGGTTCTTCAATGGCTCCCAGGTGGCATCTGACTCAGTGTATGAGACTGGCCCACTGACCTTAGCCAGTCATGGGGAGTACACCTGCGTGGCCTTCAACAACATCACTGGCAGAAACAGCACTGTCTCCAAGATGCTCACTGTTGTTGGTGAGTCAGTAACTAATACTTAAAACCAAGGAACTAAAACTTGCTTTACTGTGTTTGTGTTCAGTTGGTTTTAGACACAGCACACATGCTGCTGAACCTACAGGATAATAAGTTGGAAGTTGAGATAAAAAGTGCTTAAAACCCCTTTGATCTACTTTACACAGCACCTGTGACCATGAGCATTGTGAAAGTCATTGGAGCCCAGCCAATACTGAACGAGAAATTCTCTCTGACCTGTGAGACCGCTGGAACGGTTTACTCCATTCACTGGATGAGGAACGGCTGGCCTCTGTATGCTGACAACAGAACAGACTTCTCTATGAACAACAATACACTGACATTCAACTCTGTCCAGCATTCTGACAACGGAGACTATCAGTGTTCTGCCTACAACCCCCTGAGCAACATGACCAGCCCAGAATACAGACTGACCGTCAACTGTGAGTAGTTGTTATGGCCCAAAACCAAACTTGATATTTGCCAATTTAATTCTAATTTTGACCTATAATGAGGGCAAGATGGAATTTATAGTAATGGAATTGGGGTAGGTTTGGAGGCCACTTCTGGCACCATTATAAGAAAACCAAGGGGATGGCTGGGTATTGCTGGGGTCAAACCAAGGCAAGCACACTAATGGCATTTCCAATAGCTAATCTCATTCAATATCTTCATCATCTTGTGTTTCCCAGATGGTCCAGAGAGACCTGTTATCACGAGTCCGGATATAGCGATGACAGGACACAGCGTGACCTTCAACTGCTCGGCCTCCTCTCAGCCTCTCAGCCAGTTCAGCTGGTTCTTCAATGGTTCCCAGGTGGCAACTGGCTCAGTGTATGAGACTAGCCCACTGACCTTAGCCAGTCTTGGGGAGTACACCTGTGTGGCCTTCAACAACATCACTGGAAGAAACAGCACTGTCTCCAAGATGCTCACCGTCATTGGTAAGACAGAAGAGACATCCAAACTGTTTAACTTGTACATGTAGATATAGGCCATTCAACATACAGTGATTGTGATGTAGTCAATATTATTGTGACACTGACGTTTTCTTCACAGACCCAGTAACCATGGCCACGGTGAAAGTCATCGGTGCCCAGCCAATAGCAGACTACATGTTTACTCTGACCTGTGAGACCGCTGGAAGCATTTACTCCATTCACTGGATGAGGAACGGCTGGCCTCTGTATGCTGACAACAGAACAGACTTCTCTATGAACAACAATACACTGACATTCAACTCTGTCCAGCATTCTGACAACGGAGACTATCAGTGTTCTGCCTACAACCCCCTGAGCAACATGACCAGCCCAGACTACAGACTGACCGTCAACTGTGAGTAGTTATTATCAAGTTCAACTTTGACCCGATGGCCCGAGGTGGAATCTTTGAGAACTTCCTTTATAAACATTGTAATAAAGCCAATGTGATGGTTTGGATCAAACCTTGTATACCATATGACATATGTTGATGTCCTTTAAACTTCTGGCCAATGACAGATGATGGGTTTAACTCACATCTGTCAAACTCATTCCGCAGAGGGCCGAGTGTCAGCGGGTTTTTCGATCCTCCCTTGAACTTGATTGATGTATTAAGGTCCCTTATTAGTGAGGAACTCCCCAAACCTGGTTGTCTTGGTCTTAATTGAAAGGACAAAACAAAAACCAGCAGACACTAGGGCCTCCATGGAATGAATTTGACACCCCTGGTCTAACTGATTGTCTTTTGTATCATAGATGGACCGGATATGCCTATTATAACAGGACCAGCATTAGGAGAAACAGGACACAGCGTGATCTTCAACTGCTCGGCCTCCTCTCAGCCTCTCAGCCAGTTCAGCTGGTTCTTCAATGGCTCCCAGGTGGCATCTGACTCAGTGTATGAGACTGGCCCACTGACCTTAGCCAGTCATGGGGAGTACACCTGTGTGGCCTTCAACAACATCACTGGCAGAAACAGCACTGTCTCCAAGATGCTCACTGTTGTTGGTAAATCAGACTGTAGATTATTTGCTTTGTTGTGTTCATTTACAATCTGATAATAATTACAATAAACATATTTATCATACAAAGAGCCCAAACATTTCTAATCTTTACTCAGCGAAGATGTACAGATGAATACATCCTTTCAATACAGTGCAGTGTCCACTTACAGTATACCCTTAGCTCTCACCCTCTCCTTCCACAAAGATGTACTTTTCCATCACCCAATATTTATCTGTGCTCCTCCATGCCTATCACAGGACTTCTCATCAGTCAGGAGAGGCCTTGGGAGTATACATTCCTACAGCACACTGCAGTCCACTAAATAATTACACTTCTCATACACAAAGAGCTTAAACCTAACGCTACTTTCAATCTCTAAAGATATAAAAAACAATCTATTCATACTAAGGGGATATAATTATATAAAACATGAAATATATAAAACAGTAATATAAAACAGCAATTTACCATCTATCAGATCGTACAACCATTTGTTTTATATGTACATGTTATATATATCCAACTATTGCATCACTGGAACTAACCATTTTACCAAATTACAAAACTTGATACTGTACATAAAGCAATACACATCCTCTCTCCTCACAGAGGCTATAAAGTCGGTGATGGTGAAACGAAGCAAAATACCGATAGCATCTGACAACCTAACCCTGACCTGTGATGTCACCGGGCGCTATGACACCATCTACTGGATGAAGGACAACCTGTCTTTGGTCCTGAACAACACCTTGAACTCTGACATCACCATCTCCAACAACTCTCTGCACTTCAGTCCAGTCCAGGTGTATAACAATGGAAACTATCAGTGTGTCGCAACCAACATCTTTGGTCCACACACCAGCCCTAAATACCAGCTACTGGTGAACTGTAAGTACTGGCGTTTTAGTAATATTTTAAAAGATACGCATTTATATAATGTAGAAACAGTCAGAAACCCACCACTGTTATAATGGTTAGTGCATTCCGGGATACTTGGGATGTCCCTAGCCTAAACCCTAACCTTAACCCCTACCCTTACCTTAACCTTTACCTAGCCCTAACATTAACCCTTACCTTAACTGTTTTAAATTTCAACTTCAATGGGGTGATGTAAGAGTTGGATGTCCCAAGTAGCCCGTTTAGACTTTTCCCTGTTATGACCCCACCCTCTCTAAACTTCTTTCTGTAGATGGCCCTCTGAGTGTGAACATCTCTGGCCCAGTGTCAGTGGTGATTGGCTCAGTAATCACAGCTACGCTGAAGTGCTCTGCCAACTCCCAGCCAACCAGCGAGTACGGGTGGAAATTCAACAACCAATCAGTGCTGGGGACTGGTCCTTTGATAGCTGTTGTTGCCTCCTTGGAGAATGCAGGGAACTACACTTGTGTGGCCAAGAACCCTGTGACCAACATCTCAATGTCCAACACCATCAGTCTGGATGTCACTGGTAAGTGGGTCGGCTGTTGTAGTAAGACCTAGGTGGGATGTAATGAGTAATCAAATGTCACAAAGTTGTTTTTATTATGTTGAAACTTGGTATTTAATATTGGCATACTTCTTTGTGCAAGGATAATGTTCATGCATCAGGGAAAATGCAATAAAGCCATATGCTGAACTGGGGGGTACAGACAGGAATCAAGAATAATAATTGTTTTTAATTATATTATATTTCTCCTCCCCTGCCTCCCCTCCTCTCCATTTCTCCTTTCTCTCCCAGGCCACTCGACTGCCCCTCCATTCCAGTCCAGAGTTGGTCTGATGCTGATGGCCCTGCTAGCTCTCTCTCTCTGCCTCTGATCAACCACTGAGACCACCACAGTATGCACACTGCATGTCTGTCTGCTGGCTGGGAGCCAATCACTCCCTTCCCTCTACCCTCACTGACCTGAGAAAGGACTGGATAGGAATAAGTGGTATTGTCGATATTGTAATTGCCCCATCTTGCCACCATAGGGCTGGGTTTAGTATGCTCAGCTCCTTTCCAATGTTTTTAGGTTGTGAGGAGAGAGTCAACAAGAGGTCAGAAGGGAGGGGTCTATCCCCTTAGAATAGAACCCACCTCCACAATGTGTTTTTATGTCAATCATCTCTATAAACTGATATTCCTTTTAAAAACAACAATCTTGAAAACTGGTCTTCAACATGGTAATTGAAGGGGCAAACATCCACTGCTCAGCTGCACTGCCTATTTCTGTTTCTAATTCAATGTTCTTAGATATTCACTGCCCTTGTGACTGTTGCCCTGGAGTCCATTCACTGAGTCCCTTTCTGTGTTGTTCTGTGTTTGATCATGTATGTAAACTCTGTAGTTCAAGTACAAATTCAGGTTTATTTAGCTTATAAATACCTTAGAGGTAAAACGTTTCAAACGATAATACATTTAACTGGTGTTTATGTAAAACATGGCTTGTTTTTGCACCTATTTAATGTATAAGCTTGTAAATCCTCGGAGGAGTAGGACAGGCTTGTGCTGTTGTCTTATGTTTATATTTCCTCTTCATTAATTATTGTCTTAAATAAAGTGTTGTCTTTTCACACCTGTCCTCCTGAATGGTGCAATCTTGGGTGATTTCTTTATCGGCAAAATCGCTGTGAAGAAATTTGGATTTAATGAAGTAGCTACAGAAGGAGTTAGAGTGGCACAATACACGCAAAAGGAAATGTGAAATCGAATGATAAAATGCTAAAATAATACATTGGAAATCACTCCACACACATAGTGAAACTTGTTATAAAAAAACGTGTATTACAAAGGAGTATAATTATATAATAAATGTTTATTAAAAAAGGAGTCATGGTTCTTGAGAGAGCAATGTGAGATTACAAAACATGGTTTCAAGGTTTATAAAGTAGTTATTAAAGGTCAACTCTTTAAATTGGAATGCTCATGAAGTTTTTGCCTTGGTCACCCTTTGACCTCTCTACCCTTTCCATGATCTTCGGGCATTTCCACTGATTCTTGAATCCTTTCCTTAAGCACATTGCCACAACTGGATTGTGCGTAGGTTGGAGAGGATGGGAGAGAGATACACAGATTAGTGACTTTGGGAGAGTACACTGTAACAAGTATTGTAGTAACTCTTCAATGTACTGCTGTTAGTGTTACAGAAACACAGGGCTACTCACAGGCCTTCCTGGGCTTGCGGTAGAGGCAGCCTCCACTCAAACCCTCTCTCCTCCTCCCTGAGTGACACAAAGCATACTGCTGTGTTAGCCTGAGTGCCATTCGGATCTGCCAACTATTTGCCATCCAAAAACATTACAATCATGGGCTGTCAGAAACAGACTGAAAAGCAGGCTAGGATTGTATCCACTTACAAAAATCACAAATTACTGTATATCCTTAAAATATACATACTGGACAAATAGCAATTACTTCCTAATCACTCACCCTTACAGTCACACAGTCTGTCATGGTGTCTGGGGGGGTTGATCTGGTCTCCAACTTTCCCTGGGTCCTCCACTGTAGCTACACTGACACCTGAACGTTGTACATCAGTTTCAGGAATCCCTTGGTAGAGAGGATAATCAGAATGGATATGTATGTATGATAGATATTTCTGCATGATGGATATGTCTGTAAGACGGATATTTCTGTATGATGGATATGTCTGCATGACAGATATTTATGTATGATGGATATGTACAGTGCATTCAGAAAGTATTCAGACCCCTTGACTTTTTCCACATTTTGTTTCGTTAAAGCCTTATTCTAAAATTGATTAAATAATTTTTTTACCCTCATCAATCTAGACGCAGTACCCAATAATGACAAAGCAAAAACGGGTTTTTATAAATTTTTGCAAATGTATAAAATAAAATACAACGGAAATATTAAATTTACATAAGTATTCAGACCCTTTATTCAGTAATTTGTTGAAACACCTTTGGCAGCGATTACAGCATTGAGTCTTCTTGAGTATGATGCTACAAGCTTGGCACACCTGGAATTGGGGAGTTTCTCCCATTCTTCTCTGCAGATCCTCTCAAGCTCTGTCAGGTTGGATGGGGAGCGTCGCTGCACAGCTATTTTTAGGTCTCTCCAGAGATGTTAGATAGGGTTCAAGTCCGGGCTCTGGCTGGGATACTCAAGGACATTCAGAGACTTGTCCCGAAGCCACTCCTGCCTTGTCTTGGCTGTGTGCTTAGGGTCGTTGTCATGTTGGAAGGTGAACCTTTGCCCCAGTCTGAGGTCCTGAGCGCTCTGGAGCATGTTTTCATCAAGGATCTCTCTGTACTTTTCTCCGTTCATCTTTCCCTCGATCCTGACTAGTCTCCCAGTCCCTGCCACTTACAAACATCCCCACAGCATGATGCTGCCACCACCATGCTTCACCATAGGGATGGTGCCAGGTTTATTCCATTCGTGACACTCGGCATTCAGGCCAAAGAGTTTAATCCTGTATTCATCAGACCAGAGAATCTTGTATCTCATGGTATGAGAGTCCTTTATGTGCCTTTTGGCAAACTCCAAGCGGGCTGTCATGTGCCTTTTACTGAGGAGTGGCTTCCGTCTGGCCACTCTACCATAAAGGCCTGATTGGTGGAGTGCTGCAGAGATGGTTGTCCTTCTGGATGGTTCTCCCATCTCCACAGAGGAACTCTGGAGCTCTGTCAGGTTCTTGGTCACCTCCCTGACCAAGGCCCTTCTCCCCCGATTGCTCAGTTTGGCCGGGCGGCCAGCTCTAGGAAGAGTCTTGGTGGTTCCAAACTTCTTCCATTTAAGAATGATGGAGGCCACTGTTTTCTTGGGGACCTTCAATGCTGCAGACATTTGTTGGTACCCTTCCCCAGATATGTGCCTCGACACAATCCTGTCTTGGAGCTCTACGGACAATTCCTTCGACCTCATGGCTTGTTTTTTGTTCTGACATTCACTGTCAACTGTGGGACCTTGTATAGACAGGTGTGTGCCTTTCTAAATCATGTCCAATCAATTGAAATTACCACAGGTGGACTCCAATCAAGTTGTAGAAACATCTCAAGGATAATCATTGGAAACAAGATGCACCTGAGCTCAATTTTGAGTCTCATAGCAAAGGGTCTGAATACTTATGTAAATAAGGTATCTGTTTTTAAATTTTTAATACATTTGCAGACATTTCTAAAAACCTGTTTTTGCTTTGTCATTATGGGGTATTGTGTGTAGTTTTATTTAATCAATTTTAGAAAAAGGCTGTAATGTAACAAAATGTGGAAAAGTCAAGGGGTCTGAATACTTTCCGAATGCACTGAATGTACGATGGATATTTCTGTATGATGGATGTGTCTGTATGATGGATATGTCTGTATGACGGATATGTCTGTATGATGGATGTGTCTGTATGATGGATATGTCTGTATGATGGATATTTCTGTATGATGGATGTGTCTGTATGATGGATATTTCTGTATGATGGATATGTCTGTATGATGAATATGTCTGTATGACGGATATGTCTGTATGATGGACATTTATGTATGACGGATATGTCTGTCTGTATGATAGATGTCTGTATGCAACTGCTATGAGATGGCTATGTCTGTCTGCAATGCTTCATGAAACGCTCAAAACATCAGAAAGAAACAATCAAATTCATATGTCAATTTGTCTACAAGTATTCCTATGAGTTAAGAGCTAAATGTAGTGCTTTCACAGACACCTCAAATCATGCACACCAGTAGCAGCTTTATTAAGTGTAACCTGCTTTAACTCACTGTACATGATAAAGCCAAATACATTCAACAGTAAATCAAACAGAATGTTCAATACTTTACCTTGACCGGTGAATGCCAATACACAGAACAGCAAAAGCATCATAAATCCCATTCCTATGTCCACACTATCCTTGTGAATGTGCAATATAACCTCTGCAGCTACTACTGAATGAACAACTAAACACTGCAGTAACTTCAGCCCTTTATATAGACATGTGTCTCAGTCTGAGATGAAATGGGCCATGTTGTATGAAGCGTGTCCCCCTACCAACACTCACACCTGCCTTGTGGCTTGTTGTGTTATATATGCCAAGCGTTTTGGAAAGAGTGGACGTTAGCCAAAACAACACCTCATAGTGTTAAAGATGAGTGAAGTCAGCCTGACAGGTGGATGAGGGCCGTTCATGACACTGACATGTGATAGTGTCTATGACAAAACACTCTTCTGCCTTCATAGCTTATGTTCAATAAATATACTTTATTTCAGAGCAAACTAACAAATAACGTTCTTTAAATAGAATGTTCAGCTGAAGACTTGAAGGCTGCTTGAAACTGTCAGCCAGACACTGTGATTGTGTTTCCTTGGCAAACATTAAGACAATGATAAAATATTCCTCTAGCAAAATATTGAGGAAATAAAAACGTCATTGATCTGATAGCTCAGTATGCTGCCCAGATCATCATTCAAGCGATTAGAGCAAACTAAATGCCAGTTTATTTGTGTAAAAGGGTTAGAAATTATATTTGAACCGAGTCAAATCTTACATTGATTATCACAGGACATTAACATTCTTTCACGGCATAACGGTTTGGTACTTGCTCGATTCCATTAATCAGTCATGGTATTGTGCTCCACACCACTATGTTGGATTGGCTGGCTCATTCACTCCCACGTCGATGATATCTCTGTAAGGTGGAACTGGTAAACAAATACATCTAGACAACTGACACTGCCAACTAACCATACGAAAGAGTGGTTCCAACGTCTCATCAGAGTACTGTGTGTCACTAGACAGCTCTCTAGTTGTGGTTCTCTGCTCAGGCATAACTCAACACGTACAGGTACAGTATTTTGGATGTGCTCACAACATCACATGCAGGTATAAAACTGTTTGGTCATCCCAATCCAATAAACCTCTCCATTGTTGCGTTCCATGTGTACTCTCGCTGCACCCTTTAGTTTGAGTACATTAAGCAATCAAAACACACTCACTGGAACACACACACTGGATGTTTTGACAAGCTAGAGCTAAAGGTCAATTATGTTATTATTTTGGTTTTAAAACTTTTATTTGAACAGCCATCGTGCAGACACACTTCAGTGGTTGGAAGCTGCAAACAAAGCAATGTCCATACATACTGTAAACTTTCATTGGTTTTTAATGCATTGCATTTTGACATCAAATTCAGCTTTTCCACAATCAACATTCAAGATCAGCAACACAAACATCGTCAAGTAGAGACTGGTAGGCCTACATAAGCAGCATATACAAACAGTCAAAGCAGCCTTTTATAGGGAGTCTTGGGTGACGTGGAGTGACTGCCTTTGAATAAAGAGTACAAGACAAGCATAAGCTAGCTACAACACATCCATACACACTGACTACAGTATCATATTGTATCCAATCCAAATACCCACCAGTTTCAGCGCTACTTTGAAATGCCCTCATCATTCACTCCAAATACACCATACCCTTCCACTTCATTCTCCATATTTGTACAGACAAAATAAAACATATTCAGGGTAAATCTTCACAAGTAACAAAAAGCAACTGTGGTAAACAAATACCGGAAACAAGTAATGCTTTAACAGTGGAGCCAACTGGCCAAGTGATGCCTTGTTGCATCGTCACCGTAAACGGTCTCCTTGTCTAAACACATATGACACACCATTAAAGGGATTTAAAATGATATTATTAGTAACCATTCAAATCATTAGGACTGTATATGTTTTCAAAGTAAAGATAAAAATAAAAAGACAGGAAATGTGGTTATTTTGACAGAGGAAACAAAACAAACCTTTATTATGGTTGCTTTCAGATTTTCCTAACCTTTCTCTGGGGAAGCTCTTATAATGTATCTATCAGCCAGAAGAGAGAGATCCTGGCATATTGTGCATAATATACACCATACAGCATGAAACTAAAGAGAAGGATAATCTCTCAAATCAGATCAATCAAATCTCCAATGGTGTTAAGCGGTCAAATCTGACTAGCAACATAGACATTTGATCCTATTAGTACTTAGCGGTCCTCTACTCAGCCATTTTGGTGGTAAGTCACAGTACGGTCCAATAGAGTAGAGTAGTGCAGTGGTTACCAACCCTGGTTCTTTTTAGTGTAGGCTTTTCTTCCAGCCCAGCATTCAAAAAATTCAACCAATCAAGGACTAGATCATTATTTGAATCATGGGTTGGAACAAAAGCTGGGTAGGAACAAAAGCCTGCACTAAAATACTAAAAAGTGTTCTAAAAGTAGTGAATGTGCTAAAAGCCTGTATCTTGTGTCTCTCCAGGACCAGGGTTTGTACCTCTGATGTAGTGAGTGGGTCATTTGGTCATTGGCCATCAGTTCTCCATCAGCTGGTCTTTGGCCTGTTTCTCCAGCAGGCCCTTGAGGTGGGCGTGTAGCGGCTGGCACACAGCCTGGTAGCCCTGAGGGGTGAGGTGGAGGTAGTCATACAGGTCCTGGTGGGAGATGCTGCCGTCCGAGTGTACAAAGGAGGAGGGAGGCGTGGGAGAGGGAGGACACGGCCTCCTGGACCAGCTTGTTGACCTGGGCATTCCTCTCCCGCAGGGGGTTGGGCATCTTAC